GTGTGTGTGTGTGCGCATACGCGTGTGTGTGATAAAAGCATGGTTTATGGCATAGTATATTTATCATGTGATATCTTGTGACATTTATGCGTAAAAGTCCGCAATATCAAAATGTATGTGTGCGTGTGTGCATGAGTGTGTTCATGTGTGTGTGGGGGTGGTTGTGTATGTCTGTGCGTATATATATATATATATATATATATATATATATATATATATAAAAGATTGTTACTCCTCCCATTTCAATGATATTTTCATATATGTGTGTGTGCGCGCGTGTGTGTGCGCGCGATATGTGTGTGTGCGCGCGCGTGTGTGTGTGTGCGCGCGCGTGTGTGTGTGTGTGATAAAAGCATGGTTTAAGACATATGATATTTATCATGTGACATCATGTTATATTTATGTGTAAAAGTCCACGATATCAAAAATATGTGTGTGCGTGTGTGCATGAGTGTGTTCATGTGTGTGTGTGGGGGGGGGTTGTGTATGTCTGTGCGTATAGATAGATAGATAGATATTTAGTTTATGAAAAACTAGGTAATCCGTATGGGTAGACCCAAGGAGGATAAAATCCAGAGAGCTCAATGTAAATCCAGAGCAAATAATTTAAATAAAAACAGACCACTTTAAGGTTCCATCTAATAAATTATTTCACCACAGCCCTTTTAAAGGACTGCGGATCATCAAATTTTACTTCCAAACGTTGAAACGAAAAATGAAAAGAAATTTACACATTTTTGACGGGCCGTATTAAGCATATGTAAATTAACGAAGTGAGGCAGTGAGGGGGAGAGAGAAGACATGAGTGTATATTTTATAATATATATATTTACAGGGTGCGATGGAAAAATTATCGTCTAAATTACCTAAAATAAAAATAACACTGACATCTCATTTTAACAAATATATTTACCAAAATTACACAAAAAATATCTTAAAAATACTAAAGAGTTAGTTTATTCAATAAAATCGCCATCTAGAGGACTTCGGAATCTCCTGCAACTCTTCTTGTTTAAGTTGGTGAATGCTGCCATAATCCTTGCCTTCAGTTCATCTTTGGTGTTACAAGGAGTTTTGTTGGTCTCTCGTTCAACTGCGTTCTACACATAATAATCAATAGGAATTAAGGTGACCAGATGTAAGGAGTGATGCGCTCACAGAAATTGTCTAGCAGCTATGATTGGGTTCTCCTGCTTGTGTGGCTAGGTGCAAGAAACATTTTGCTAGACATAGGGTCTTCCAGCAGACACCCTCTTGATCCAAGGCAGCACTTCATCCTCAAGGCTCTTGATATAGGCCTCCATGTTGAGATTAAGTCCCTCACAAACATTTGGTGAGCTTTTCTTAACAGAACTATCTGAATTAGTTTTCCGAATTGCCTTACCACCATTAGATTCATCCAACTCTTTCCGAATCCTATGCACTGTCCTCAGATTGATACCTAAACACCCAGAAATATTCGTATTCGAGCTTCAGATGCGAACGCCAAAACAATACAGTATAGCATTTCAAAATTTCTACCGTAGTGACTTGCATCATGATTCTCCTTTTCTCATAGACGATGCCCAAAATTGTCCCTACTATAATGTGTAGTCGACAAAATCAAAAACTCACAATGAGCATGCGCGAAATTAAAAATATAAAATAACGACAATTTGTCCATTGCACCCAGTAATGTATAGACATACAATTGCAGAGAGGCTATATATATATATATATACTCAATCAATGTAGAGTCAATGTAGAGTTATTATGTATATTTCTTTATATATATATATATATATATATATATATATGTATATAAATAAAAAGAAAGAACAGTAAGATATATAATCCGGTGTTCTTATAGATATTTTATTTTTTTAAAAGTAGTGCTCAATGTAAATTTACAGGGCATTAATATTATAAATTAATTGATTTAAAATATGTTTTTTTTCGCTACACAGTTCTAACCATGTTTCAAAAAACATTGTTAGAACTGTGTAGCGAAAAAAAACATATACACTTTTGTTTCTCACTCCCACACATACACTCTTACTAAAATTTTGTTTTTTATACCCGGAGTTATATTTTCCGATTTCTTTTTGAATTTATATGTCTGACGAATTGGATCGTGATTACGATTCCAATGTAATCAATTATAACCATGGAATATTAGAGTTTGAGCATTTTATATTATATACAGGGTGCGACGAATATCTGAGGACAGATTTTATGGATTAGTAAAAAATTTGCTGAACAAATGAATACAATTATATTTGATTAGAAACAAGTTAACAGGGAATTTAGCTAACTATTCTTTAATTTTATTCAATACAGCCACCACTAGCATCAATAACTGTCTCTACACGAGGTCGAAATCAGCTGCAAGCTCTGATTAATTGGTCCTTATTTATGTCAGACATTACTCTAACTATTGCAGCTTTAAGAGAGTCTTTGGTGTTATGAGGTTGTTTATTAACCTCCTTCTCAGCAACGCTCGACAGATAATAGTCTAGTG